CCGACTGAGTCGCCTCCGACGTACAAATATGTTATACAGGGTGTATCATTTTAAATGATCCATTGAAATTTCTCGAAAACTAAGGATTCCGTCGGAAAATGTTTCAAATAAAATTTGTGCGGTTTCAAGAGAGACTTTATATTACTATTTTTGTTATTTAGAAAAACCTATGAATAAATACGCAAAATGTGGTTAAACTCACGAGTGCAAAAAATATCGCTGCAATCGGCGGAAAAAATAATGCCCGTTCTAGTGACTTGAGATAAAAAACCCGAAAGTTTCCTAAATAATATCCCTCTCTTTTGCGGCCATTCCTGTCACAATAGATGTTATTCTGAACTTACACTGAGAGAAGAAAACGGTTGATCTACTTAAAATTGTAGTTACCTTCAGCCCCAATCATACCTTTTTGTTATTCTAACATGAAAATGGTAATAGAAACTTGCATACAACACAAAAAAAGATTTGCTAATATATGGACAACTAAAAATATTAACTACAAGAGCAAAAGTTATTTAGTTGTGATAGCTAAAAGATTTACTAATATATATTATTTGCTAATATATTAGCAAATCTTTTAGCTATCACAACTAAATAACTTTTGCTCCTGCAGTATAATATTTTTAGTTGTCCATATATTAGCAAATCTTTTTTTTCCGTGAATCAACAATCTTATAGTTATCTACTAACTTATAGTAGAACTTAATAACAAGATAGTTTTCTTGACCATAATTTACAGTAATGATTTCTCTGTGAGATTAAAGTCACACATATCTTTTTCTCAGTACGTAACACGAAAGAGCGACAGCTTTCCAGCCACTCGAGATCCGCTCGGGATACGCCTGCAATAATCATGCGAGGTAGTTTCTATGGTTACATATCGTTTAGCGGGCGAGTCTCGTGACCGTATTTAAATTTCTCTTTTGGTAAACGCGCAGCCACACGACGTAACGAAAGGGGCCGTATCGGGTAATGGCGATCGTGTCGATACGAGCATTTGTTCCGCGCAATTTGCGTCCGCTGACCGGTTCGCATAGTGCGTGGGATTGCTAATTCCGCGCTGCGAACGATAAGAACGGAACAAAATTAAACGCATCGCGCACTCTCCGCTCCACTCCGTACGTACGTAGATACGAGTGCACATCGAATCGCACTTTCGCACGCAATTGCACGGCGATGGCGCCAGTCGTAACAAATTGCGGCTCGTCGCACTGAAGAAAGGATTTTATTGTCGAAATGGAAATTTGGTATATCGAGCCAGAATTAACCCCTTTTGTCAGCAATGTTGTTTTTCAAAAATGCAATTTTTTTCAGTTTACCCCAAATTAAATACATCAATATAATGTAGTTTCAACAAAACGTTAAAAGTTTCATGTTTAACGCCAGAGGCTTGGTAGTTTCAATTAATTTTCCTTCTTTCTTTTAATATTTCATACATTTTTAGTGTGTTTCTTTCTATGTAATAATACTCCTCATTATCTTTTGTTTGAAAGAAATTGAAAATAATGTCTTGGCAATTTTTAACGATCTCCATTCTACACTTTCGTTAAATACTATTTAAATATTATTAATATTTTTTATATTTATTTTTAAGCATACTAATAAAACTGGGACAACTGACGTCCCATTGGGGTTTTTGGAAGGGCATATTTGTGTTTAAAGATCGAAACACACACAATAAGAAAATGAATTACGTGGTCGGGAATTGGTACTTTTACCTTAATGCCAACCAAGTCGTATGTATTAAATACTTTTTAGTTCCAAATTTATACTTTAGTTCAAAATAATATTTACTTTTTATATTAAGGATAATTTTGTTAGTGCAAGCTTAGAGGGTGACGGTAGATTAAACAAATCTAATTGGCGATGTTCTCCGAACGCGCTTCCGGACATTTAGAACCAATACGATTTCTCGCGAATTGTAAAAGAATGAATATTGCTTATACGTTTTATTTAAAGAAAACCGCATCACTCCAATTACTTTCGAGGATTTTAATTAACTTTTTTTCTTTTTGTGATAAATTAACGTTAAAACGTTACTTTTACTTGAAAGAAACTATTCCAATTATTTGGTGGTTTCAATTAATTTCCCTTCTTTTTTAAATATTGCTTTGGCACATTTTTTTGATTTTTATCTATATAATAATAATATTCTATCTTATATATAATTATCTATATATAATAATATTCCTCATTATTTTTTAATTGAAGAAAAATTAAAAATAATGATTTTTAATAATTTTCATTTTACTTTCGTTAAATATTATTTAAATATCATTAATTTTTTTATATTCATTTTTAAGCACAGTGAATTTTTTAAATAACATGATTTATTGTTTTTTATAAGGTGTTATTGTTAAAGGATTTCTATTTTCAAAATCTATTTTTAAATGAAGTAAGATTTTTAAATATAACACTGTTTATTGTTTTTTATGCGATTATTAGAAGATCTTTTCGTTATAATTGCTACTATATGGGCTTTGTAAGATTTTTTGTTAGAATTTTTAGTTGAATTGAATTTTCTTAAATTATTATACTTATAATTTATTATAGTTTTGTATAGTTTTATACAATTTTTTTTTATAAGATCTGTTTGTTAAAATTTTTATTAAATATATCTTTGAACATTTTATGACACAACTTTGCATGTTTTTATGTATTTGGCATCTTTTTCACTTTGTTACTTTACTTTGTGTTACTTTTTTTTTACTTTTGTTACTTAAGTTCCAAGTACAAAAGTGCAAGCTTAGCGTGACGGCAGATTCAAATGAATTCACGCTAATTAGCGAAGCTTTCCAGACGCTTAAAACCGGTACGGTATTTCGCGAACGTGAATCTCGACGTGAAGTCGCCGTGCGGAAATCCCGTAAGAAAGTGCATAAATCCGTCGATTAGACACGCCGCGATGGACACTTTCGGCATTTAATCGCCGATGCAATTACGGTTCACGATAAGCATCCATCGGACGTTGTGCGTAGCGCGAGAGAACCGCGCGCTCCGATCGAGGTCGCTAAGGATATCTCCTCTCGCCCCTTTCGGCCGACGATATCCTCACGTTACGAAAATTCGCGGGGATTAACGACGTTCTCGGGCAATTTAATTAGACAAGATGTCGCAAGATCTCGCGCGAGATGCCGCTCTATAATTTTTCACCAGCGTGCGACGTGCGAAACGCGTTCGACGTGGATGCCCGACACGGAAAATGAGCAAAGGGACACGGCGGCTGCTACCGGGGATATTAATCGATGGCGACAATAAATGGACCAATCAGGGCCGGACGTGCAATTAATCTGCGCGTAATCTATTATTTATCCGCCGTGCGACGAATGCCAACATGCCAATCTCCATTTAACACCAGCGTCGAGTGTCGACCTCACGTTCTCGCGCGTCTAAGTACGCGTATAATCATCGTATAATAGAGCTTACGTCCCGGATAACATTATCGAATCCGCAATCGGCGGGGAATCTCGCGAAGTGTGTTTTCGAGACATTACAAGTTCAGTGTACGTGACGATGTCGCGAAACCGTGGCCGCCGGTCGGGTCTTCTAGGAAAATCCTAGGTCGTGGTTGAGCCTGATCCTGAGTCGCGCCATTATCGCCTAGGTCCTAGGTCCGCATGGTGAGAAGCC